CAGGGGGGTTGGAACTGGATGATCTTTGAGGTCCCTTCCAACACAGAATCATGGAATGGTTTGAAAGTGATACGTAGCAAGACTTAGAGCTCTTGCATGAATTGCCAACACAAGGGAACACGTGCCCGTAAGAGAAAGGGATGAGGCCCTACAATGGTAGTGATAAACCTCCATAGACTTAAATGGTCCACTGAGGTACTGGAGAGATTGTTAGGATTTTATATATTTCCAAGGATCAATTTTAGTACTGACACCGTGCACCACACCTTCCAGAGGCTCTTGAACCACCTTGCAAATTTCAGCGAGGCCTCAAATCTGTTTAAGCAATAGTAAAGCTCTTCTGCTCCCCAGGCAGAGAAATGAAGTCCAGACTACTGGAATGATTCCTACAAAGCTGTAAGGAGCTCACTAGTGACCTGGGGCAGGGGGAAGAGAAAGATCTCCACGCTCCCATTTCTCTGTTCAACTCACTAGATTGCTTTTTACTGGGTTTTTTTTGTGTTTGTTTTTTACTCTCTGCTCTTCCCCATCATCTAGTACGAGAAAAATTTCTTGGATTTCAATCTCACCTCTTGGAGCTGGAGTATTTCTGCTTCAAGACTTTTGAGCTTCTTTTCACTCTCTTTGGACTGTGCAAAGATCTCATCTCTGGATGCACGGGCTTCTTCCAGCTCCCGCTGGTAGTCTTTCATCTGAGCCTGCAGTTGGAAAGCACAGGAATGAATGAGCCACGATACAGTAGGACAACTATGAGATTTATTAGTAGCTCTGAAGCATTTTGGCCCTTAAAAGGTAAGACCTTCCTCCCAAAATGGCTTTATTCCACTTAAATAGATTTTCAGTTCTTATTTTCATGGTAAAACTTGATTTTCTCATCTTTCCATCACTTATTCCTCATCAGAAACATCCATTATAAGACTCCACTTCATTTACCAGTATACTTCTTGTAGGAAAAAACGCTCTAGTAGAGAGCTGCTCAATTACATTTATCGTGAAACTTGTAGAGAGGTAATGCTCTTAGAATTGATTTGGGAAAAGATAAATCTATTCACTCCAATTGACTGATAAAACCTGCTACAAACACATGAGAAGCTCAGTGTAGAAGTAACACAATTCACCACTCTGCACGTGTAATGCAGAAGCACACGCTCCTCCTTCCCTTAAGACATTAACACAGCCTGACATCTCAATTCACACAGGTTTGACTTGAGATGCTAAAAAAAGAGTAATAAAGTTGGAGAAATTGCACTGAAGTTGTACCTGCAGCTTTAGACCACCACCAGTCAGGAGACCACTTACCTCAGGTGCTTGTATGAAGGTGTACAGACAGCAGGTGTGGACTCTGTAGCTGACTTTGGCAAAACTGAACCCTGCTAAACGTTGAATATTTTTCTGGGAACGGGTAATAAATCCTTGACAAAAACCCAAGTATTGGGTTTTTCTGGCCAAACTAAAAAGAATGGGCATCTTGGAGCTTTTTAAAAGCAACTAAAATTTACTCCTCCTTTTCCTCTGGAGCATTTTTGGCTGAAAATGCCTTAAAAAGTTCAACTGGAGGAAGCAGCAGTCAGCAAGAGCTGAGCTCAAATCAGTCAATTCAAAGATACGAACCACCATAAATTGCAGACATGCAGCCTGGAAAGGAGAGACAGCAGCTCAGCTGATCAGCTGTGCCTACCTGGAGCTTACGTAGCTGTTTGATTGCTTCGTCCCGAGCCTTGTTTGCAGCTTCTATCTGACTTTCCAGGTCTTTCAGATCCATCTCCATTTTCTTCTTGGCTGCCACAGCAAGAGCCTTCTGTTTGCGCTCATCTTCCAGCTCTGCCTCCAGCTCTCGCACCTGGGAAACGAAGGCATTTAGCAGGCTCAGCTCCAGGAACGGAGCAAACACGGGACCCTAAGGACATGGTTGATGAATCCAAAAGATCCAAAAGGCCTTTGCAGAATAGAATGAACATTACTGGACTGGAAGAGACTACGGAGTGCAAGTTACATGGGAAGAGACCGCAGATGGCAAAAACAAATCTACAAATTGGAAGCAGAGATCTCCGAACTGACAAAAAAGGAAAACAAAGACAATAACTCAGCGTCTGGAGCGTTTCCATTTCATCCTTCTGCTCCTGGGTGATCAGCCCCTTGCCCAGCACAGCCATCCACGTGCAGGGGTCGCTCTGGGGCACATGTTGCTGGTTCCGATTGAATCGCTAAGAGGAAAACGAGACATAGGATCACCTCGTTTTCTCCAGACAAAAAATGAAACCACTCTCTTTGAAAGAGCCGTGCTGTTAGCATTTCCACACCAACCTTTTTTCAGAACAGAACAGAAAAGCCAAGCCCCTAAGGAGCCAGCCAACACGAACCAAGGCAAACTCAGGCAAGAATAAAACTGAGCCAGGACTGGCACAGGTTGCCAACATGAAAGAACATATTTCATTTTGAATCGAGCCCCTCTCCTCACGGCAGGTCAAGAGCTCTTGTCCAGTGTGAGATACCAGCAATTCTGCACTGCAGTGAACCTCAAAGGCCTTCCAGGCCAATGCTTTTGCTTGGTTTTAACAGCTCTGTATGGGGGATTCTCAATAACTGCAAGTTTTTGTTTTCTTGTGATAAGTCTTGAAGTATTAGATATTTTTTTTTCTTAAAACTTTAGAAACCCCAATTTAAAATCATCTTCTCTTACAAGCATGAAATTTTAAAGGCATTTCTTGAGAATTCTAGTAACACAAAACAGATCTGAAGAGACTCAAGTCCGGAAAACCTAGAATCTTTGCCACGATCTTCCTTTAGGAAACTCTCTTAATTACAGTCTCTCAGTCTGTGTCAGCATCCCTGGATTTGTTCCTGTACAGCAAACAGGGTGGGCTCGACACTCCCACGCAGCAACAGCCAAAGCTACTGGCCTGTTGAGTGCTGTCGGGGCAGGACACAGCTGAACTGGGGGACCAGCGGTATCAGACTGACATTAACAGCTGACAGTGGCCAGTCCCCAGCAAGACCTGTTCCATTGTTTGTAAGGATCAGTGCTCGGGATTTCTCTAGGATAGGAGCTTTAAGCAAAGAGTTTTGTTCTTCTGGTAGCAAGTTATGACCAAAGCCACAGAGCTTTGGCAAAAAGTCACCACACCCTTCCCACTGTGAAGTACAATAAAACAGACATACTTGTTTAACCAGCATCCTCTTTTTCTCTTCGTTCTGTTCATCTCTGGCTTGCAGATCTCTCTCAAACTGGGCTTTCATAGCTTGCATGTTCACCTCCAAACGAAGCTTGGCATCTTCTGTGGCCTGCAGTTCATCTTCCAGTTCCTCAAGCTGAGTCCTCATCTCTTCAACCTGTTGCTCTAGAGTTCTCTTGGACTTCTCCAGTTCATGAACCTAAGCCAAAAACATTCATCAGACCCTCTCCTTCAGGTGTCTCAACACCAGCACAATATTATTTACAGCACAATAAGACATCACATGGACCGAGCGCGTTGTGTTTTGTGACGCTCTGAATGACAATGAATCAGAACAGGCAGAGCAGCACCTAAAAGCCCCAAGAGACCCCAACAAACATCCATGCAGATGACTGGAGAGACGAGATGTGCAACATCACAGAGAAAAAGTAGCAGTGACACAAGCTCTTAAATCTAGCGCAGGTGCGCGAGTCATTCGGCCTCTCCATGTCTTTACATTTTTTGAAGAGGACTGATATTAATAAAGATCACTCCCTTATCCTATTAATTCCTCCAGAACTTTGAGTTATAAAATCAGCTTCAAAAAGTTCCATTTTTGTGTCAAATGTGCTTCTCCAGCCAGGGAGCTTTCCTGTGTTATCACCTTTGCAGTACACAACAAACCAGGGTGTGGGAACATACTTACGTTTTTGCCCACATCATCTTTAGAGCTCATTAAGTCTTCCATATCCGCACGCAACTGCTTGTTCTGTCTTTCAAATTCCTCCTTAGCTTCCAGGGCTTCTTCCAAAGCCCGAGCCAGAGACAGTGCTTTGGTTTCCTTCTCCCTTGCTTCTGCTTCAGCACGATCTCTTTCCTCTGCATATCTGGCAGAAATGTTCTTTTCTTCTGCCAGCATCTGAACACAAGAAATAAGGGATCCATCTCAAACGTTCTATAAACAGGTCCTTCCTGCCCCAGGTGTTTCAGCCAACAAAGTGGTTAATGCTCTATGTTTAACTGGCCTTCAGAAGCTGTCTAATCTCTCAATCTTGACCAAATGTGCTAGTAAGAAAACAGCTACAGCTACTCTGAGATGAGACAAGGAAAGCAAGCTGCTAATGAAGATTAAATAAGTTTTACATTATTTTAATCTTTCGGTCTTCACATCCTTTCTTAGTCTGTCTTGAGGGATTATGATAATACTCTTTTATTCCAATATAATTTCCTGTTTGTATATAAAGAGCTTATTACTTGGTCTAACAAGACTCAAAGCTGGCATTTAGCTCACTGAAATGGTAAAGTGACAAGTTGCTCTTAAAGGCCAAGCTGCTCACAAAAGACTTCTCAAGAACAACAACACTAGTCAGACCCTTCTCTACACAAGGCTGATACAAGTCGTAACAATAGAAACGAGATGTCATTTAAAAATGATGATAGGAAACCAGACTACCTGATCAAACTTCTTCTGCTTTTTCTCCAAGTTAGAAACAATCTGGCGCTGATGATCTAGATCTACCATCAAGTCATCCAGTTCTTGCTGCAGGCGATTCTTTGTCTTCTCCAGCTTGTCGTAAGCCATTGCCTTCTCCTCTAGACGTTGGCTCAAAGACTCCATGTCTTTCAATAATTTCTTCTTACCTTCCTCCAAGCCTTCAATGGTTCCCAAGTCGTCATCTACCTTTTTCTTAGCATCAGCCAACTGGAAGTTAATAAAAGAAAATAATTTTCCTTAGTGCAACACGAGAAGGAAAAAGAAGGTCTGAAATACAACCGCAGAAATAGATGTCATTCCTAGCTGAAGTACCACAGAAATTGAGAGCTAGCAGGATACTCAAACCTGCTCCTTGCAGTTAGTTGTACTTGTCATTACTGCAATTGTCATTACTGCAACGGAGAAAGACCACAGGAAGTTTTATTCCAAGATCTGGTGCAAGTTACATGACATTTTTCCGAGAGGTTTGGGACACCAATTCATCTCCCCTGGAACGTGTAGGCCTTTACAGAAGTTCTGCCATTTACAACAGCTTACCTGCGACTGCAAGGCGAGCATCTGTTTCTCCAAGTTCTTTCTGGCCTCCTCCTCTTCTTCCTGCTGTTCTTGCAGGTTGTTCTTCTCCTCTTCCAGCTGCCTAATCCTACTGCTCAGGTTGAGTTTCTGGCGGGTTTCTTCCTGAAGCAGCTCCTGTAACACAAGCAGGCATATTCAAAGTTCAGTTTGGTTCACGGTGTGGTAACTGTGGCCTTGGGCTGCCACCCTCCATTACTCTATATGGAATTTCAGGTTTGATTATTTTTCTCACAGCATTTTTGTACAAGGACATGCTTATGAAGACATCTGTGATTTGGATTTTGAAAAAGACACTGCACATTTATTTTGAGCACACTTAAACCTTTATAAAGCATGTTTCAGATCAGGGAACCCATGCCACTGCCTGTTCTAGAAGTTAATGGATGATACTTTTCCATCTTTAAAGGGATGAGCACAGAAGTCACCTTCAAAATTATTTTTCTTCTTTCAGGCAAGCATATAGAGCCCCTATTTTAAACCACCTGGGAAGAATATATAGCAGCAAATCCTGCACTGGCAGCATGCTTCCAAGTTCTGCTGCATTGCTTAAATACAAGGGTCAGTTTAAAGACAGGTGTAATTTGGCAGTGGAAACCTCTGTCTTAACAGAAACTAATGAAAGATGTCAACCACCATCTCCTCTCCCCCACCCTGTTCCTCACAGAGTCCTGAAATTGTGATTAACATTATTCAAGTAGTCACCATTACCATTTTTATACAGGGGGAAAAGAGTATATTTAAGTGATGAATAGATGCCTAAAGCTGCATTATTTAACTCATAAACAATGGTAGTTTTAAGAACTTAAGCTGTGAATAAAAGACAGGGTAGGGTGCCTTTCACATACCCCAAGGATCTTATTTCCATCAACATTCTACTTGGAGAGGTTTTCTTGAGTTAATACTTATCTCCCACAGAGACTAAGAAATAAGAGAACCTGAAAGGCTACAGTCTACCAAGTAGTGGATCTCAGATAATGAAAAACTGGCTCCATGTGTAACTGAACGGTCATTCTACATCGCATTTCACCAGACTTCAACGGGAAACAGAGCTTCTACCCGAGGGACTTTCCAAACCATGAATGAAAAAGTATTTTCTGCCATGCAGTTAGCATTTCAACGAGGAACAAAGCTTCAGTGCAAAGTTCAAGCTTCACTGCACACACACCTGGGTATCCTGGAGCTGAGATTCCAGACTAGCCGCATCCTTGGCAAACTTGATGCCTTTCTTCTCTGCTTCCTCCAGGAGACTTGAGACATTGTCCAACTCGTTCTGCAAAGCAAGCAGTCCAAAGGTAACGGCGTGCAGCTGACTCATGGCAAAGCCTACGTCTCACTGGGAGCTGCAACTGCCGAACACAAAACCTCAGCAGATTCCAGGTATGGTCAAAACAACAATAGATCCCAGTACAGAGATGCGACAAGCTAAAAATACCGAAGCTTGGTTAGAAACTTGAAGTTAGATGTCAACCTTAAATTTAAGGATATAACATAACAAGAGTTAGGCATGCTTTTTAGCAGAGCAAGTCATTCCACTGTCTGCGTTCGTACTTAAATGCTATTTTTAATTATAGGATCATATATTTTACAGGACCACTCATTCAGGGATTATCAGGTGGCAGCCAGGTATGTTTGAAGCATCACTGCAAGATAAAAAGGTGACTGCCAGGTGCTGAATCTTGTTATTTTAGGCTACACTACTTGTATATACAGTGAGAGGCTGAGCTTCCCCCTAGGAGAACTGGGCCATTCCCCTTTTGAAGCACTTTAGCTTGATTTAAACCACAACAATGAGTCCTTTAGGTGAAAGTCCTGCATTTTGTCTGTTTCCTCCATTTCCTAGAAGAATAGGCCTTTACTTGCAATCCCTATCTGTCAAGCTCCCACCTTTGAAGCACAAAAGGAAACCTCAACACCTACAAACGAGTCAGCCCCATCTACTCAATTCCATTACCAAGCCAGAAACCTGCAGGCCGGCTGGCAGCAGAGCCTCCTACTGGATTTGGTCTCCAGGATGGGAAACCACTTAAAATATAATTCTCACATAGCCCAAAAAGTTCAGGATTAATGTCATGGCTGTCCAGCTATCTCCACCTGAGGCATATTAACACTTTAAGGGCCCTCAAGTATATAAGTGCATGACTGAGATCACCTCCCACATCAACTCCAGACCCGGTTGCTGTAGACCCAGCTGCATCTTTGAAAGTAATTTCTCCTGTTCATTTCTGGATATGGTTAAGGCTTTTACTTTCCTGTGTGTTTTCCAGCAGTTTAGGACTTCCATACAGCCTTACCTGCAGCTTGTTGGCTTTCTCCGCCAGTTCCACCCTCAGTCTTTCTCCTTCTGTGACCTTAGCGGTCAGCTCTTGTACCTGAGCATCAAGCTTCTTCCTCTTATGTTCAGATTCTGCCTTGACCTGCTGCAGTACCTTCACTTCACAGGCTAACTCCTTGTTGTCAGACTCTAGGCCTTGCTTGTTTTTTTCAAGATTTGCTTTGAACTAGAAAAAAAAAAAAAAAAAGGAAAGAAGTTCAACACTGTTACATATAAATAAATTATTCAGCTCAGCAAATCAGGTTTACAAGTTCAAAGATAAAAGAAGTGCTCAGCAAGTTTTGGGTAGGGGCTGTTGAAAATGCTGCCGTGCCACAATCTGTGTGTGTTAGCCAAAGACTCAGTTAATGCAAGTTATTCCACTCTCAGATATCCCAGGTAATGGAGAGGACCAGAAGATACTTCCATGAATTCAACGAGATCCGGGATGTCAGTGCTGTAAAATGACTGTTTGAGTAGCACTGTAAGTAGGGAGGAATGTGCCCATTAACAGATCAGCATGGCTCATCTCACAGAAATAAAAGGAAATGTATCAACTGAAGCTGCCCTGATTTTAGTAGGCATAGCAGCCTGGAAGTGCACAACAAAGCACTTTTCATCACTGCGTTGACATTTGTCAAAGATGCCAATTATTACTTTTTTAAAAAGATAAGGGATGTTTAAGTGCCACTCTTACTGTATCACCAGAACTGACATCATCTTATCACAGGACCTTTGTTTCAAATTGCAGAGTATTTCTCCATCTTTTCATGCTCTTATTGAGAACATTCAGTGGATAAGGAGCAGAAGAATGCAGAGAGATCTTCAGGTGAATAAACTGTGATTTCCATCAGCTTTAACTACTATGTTTCCACTTAGTTTAAAATACTAAGGAAGCTTGTGAAGTATTTGCCTAGAGAGGTGGTGGATGCTCCATCCCTGGAGACGTTCAAGGCCAGGTTGGATGAGGCCCTGAGCAACCTGATCTAGTTGGAGATATCCCTGTTCCTTGCAGGGGGGTTGGACTAGATGACCTTTGAAGGTCCCTTCCAGCCCTAACCATTCTATGATTCTATTCCCTACATAAAAATATTACTACAGTATATGAACTGTCCACATATACATGTGTGAATGACCAAAACTATAACTTCACAAACTAAAGATACTTTTTCTTTTTGGCAGCATTGGAATAATTCTACTTTTGGAACAAGACACTCAAGCTACACTAGTAGGAACCAGGTGTGCCTCCTCCTGCCTGCTCTGGTGGTGGTGACCAGAGGACATGACACAGCTGTGCAAATTGGTAAGATACTCCACAGACATCTAGCACTGGAGATCCCAGTACAAGCATGAAGTTAAGAGTGGCTGGAAGAACTTTTACACTACCTGCACTCACCGTTCGTTATTTGCGAGTGCTGATGTTACAGGTACCTTATTTGGAAGCGTTTTGCAGTTCACTCATGCAGAAAACTGCTTTTCACCAAATAAGCACGTGGACTGCTGGAGAATTCCTACAGGAGTACTACATGATTCATCTCTAGGTGCACCATTTCCAAGTCTAATGAACGCTTTTCAGACAGATGCCAACTGTCTAATAGTTGCTGTGTTTTCAAACCAGCATGACATATTGGATTGGATGGCAATAGTTGTGCATGTAGAGAGGACAACTTAGCTCTGCAGATATCAGTGGAAGGGACCACAACACTTATGGTGCTCATAAAAAGTCCTGAAGCAGAGAAGTGTGTTTCTATAATTCATTTTCTTCTCACCCTTTTGGCCTGTTCCAGTTGTTCAGAGAGCTCTTCCAGGGCAGTAGCATGCCTCTGCCTGATCTCCTGGATCTGTGCTTCATGGTTTTTGGTTTCCTCTTCAATTGCTTTCTTCAGTTCAGCCACCTCCTGCTCACGCTTTGTCCTAGAGGAAGCATCAAGGGTTATCAAAAATCAACATTTTAGTCTTTTGTAAATGAAAGGTGAATGTTAATGGCACCTTCTTACACAGGCATATGATCCTACCTCAGCTCTTGCTGTGCTGCAGTGGTATCCAAGGTATCTTCCAGTTCAGTTTTTAAAGCCTCCAACTCTTCACTTAAATCTCTTTTCTGCTTTTCTGCCTTGTTGCGTGACGCCTTCTCAGATTCAAGATCCTCCTGAAGTTCTGCAATTTGAGCCTGCAACTCTCTTATCACTTTCAGTGCGTTGTTTTTCTGAACTGCTTCTTCATCCCCTCTGTTAAATAGAGGCACAACAGTTAATGATATTTCAGTTTCAGATCTATTCTCATAAATCTAGCATTATTTAAATTAGGTACATAAACAGTATCTTAACTTTTCCACTAGAATAAAACAGACTTTCTAAAACTTCATAGATAGAAAACCACTACTGTTATTCTCAAGACCCTGACATGCCCTGGGTATTACAGATGCACTATCAGAATGATCAAGCTTTCAAGTTTACATTCAACCTTCTAAAACTTCATAGATAGATAACTACTGTTATTCTCAAGACCCTGACAAGCCCTGGGTATTACAGATGCACCATCAGAATGATCAAGCTTTCAAGTTTACATTCAAGTATTCCAATTTTGTAGATCTCCACACTGTCCCAAAAATGCACCATCTGTAGAATTTTCTCTCCCTGCAAAATTATAGATCATTACTCAAAACCCACAAACTGTTTAGCTTTTATCACAACGCGTGACTGCAAGACTACCATGCAAGTCGTGCCCAATCATTAACAGGAGTCTATTAAAGCAGCTCACTGAGAATTACACTTTTTCCCTCCTGAGGCTGAACTCTGAGACTAAAAAAAACCTTCCAGAGCCCAAACACTGTTATACCCTGATGAAACTTTCTGCAGCTTTGTAGAGCAAGGATGCTGATAAAATACTTTTTTTGCCATGCCTACACACAGCACAGGTGTCTAGAGATGCTCTACTACAAATGTGAACTGGCTTCTGGCTTTAACATTCCCAGTTCCAATATGTTTGCAGCTGCTGAAATTCCATCTGGGAAAGGAGGTTTCTACCACGCTTCTGTAGTCGTAAGCACCATCGTGCTCTGACCTAGCAAGAGCAGCCTGCAGTTCTTCCTCCTTCTTGGCCAGCTGGATCTTCAGTTCTTCAATCTGGGCTTGCAGCTCAGCTATTTGGTCCTGTAGGTCTGTTGTTTCACCATCAAGTTTTCTTTTAGCTTTTTCTAATTCTTGACGGGTCTTCTCCTCCTTTTTTAAGCGCTCTAAGGAAGCAAAGAATTATATTTATACACAATTTTTTCTCTTGTCATTCTCAGAAGGTTCAGAGGCAGGGCCATGGGGTGGCACGAAGGGTGGAAAGTTTAATTTATACTGTGTCAGTTCTTTCTCCAGTCTGCAGCTGAAGTCTGACTGGGAAATGTGAAATAGCAAAGTAGAACTGTGTGATTTAGACAGAAAGTCAAGAAAAAGTCAATGACTGAGGAAAAAATTTGAAATAAGGGAACAGAAACATAACCTTATCTTGATGGAAAATAAGGAGTGGGATCTAACAGGAGAGCAGTTTGAGCTGCCAGGCCAGGTAACCATAGGCACCACGATTCAAAAATTAATATCAACTACAGATTGGAAAAAATGATGCCTTGCATAGTTGTGGAAGGGCTAGGCTAGACTCCAGAAGACCTACTGGAAAATAGTATAGCTTAAAGAAAACTTGGATAAATTATTTTTGCAAGTCTCTGTGCCACTAACTCACATCCCATTGATATTTAGCAAGACTTTGCAACCCTGATAGCTTCCAGCAATTTACTTGTGTGGCCAAGACACTCCTGCCCTAAGGTATTTCTTTGTGAAAACCACCCAGTTATCAGTGCCACAGCAATGGAACACAGTTAGTTGATCTGCCTCTTGTCTGATTAAGATAGTTTCTGGCTCATTGTTTCCAGGTAGCTAATGACCAGGTACGTAAATATATTGAAGTCACAGGAAGGTTTTGCTTAGCATGGCATCAGCACAACTCCAAATGCATTAGCATAAACGTGCTAGACTTGCTCAATCCTTTGAGTCTTCAGTGCAGAGATTTCTCTCACTCTTCCTATGCCTGCTATGGGATTAGGACATCACCTTCCACGTGGAAAGGGAGCCATGTTCAGGAATCATCATCTTATTTGGATTTTCCAGACAATCTAAAGTAACACTGTTTTTCTCTAAACAGTTCCTCATTCAAACAAGAAATAGCACGTTTCTCTCTGGTTTTACATTGTATTAGTGGTAAGTGACAGTTAGAATAGTGTCATAGACCCAATTTTGTAATTTAAAAAGTTCATAGTAAAGTAAGATTATTTTTTTGTTGTTGTTCCAAATATGAGTGCCTAGCAGTGCCAAGACCCTCACAGAGAGACCTTAATGGCTTCTTGAATCATCTCCAAGTGTAAATATCATTTTACTGGGCTTCACTAGCCAAGACATTGCATGCCTTATATTCAAGCTTTAATTTCCATTTTTAAGGTCATCAGCCTTGGAACAGTACCATAACCAAACACATCTGTCAAGTATCTTCAGAAACACTAGTCTTGATTTAACCATTATTTTCCAGTGAGTAAAGCTTACTTACGCCCATCTACAGGTCTCTGAATATGATTTTTAAAGAAAAGGTACATCAATCATCTTCTATCCCTACGAGTTCAATACCTTCCTATACAGACGAGATTAAACTTTGGTATTCTTTCATAAGCACATCAGTTTTAAAATACATAGGACAGGCCATAAAACAGTAAGTGAAAAAACTATTTCCAAATTAGGGCACAGAGAGCAGCTTTGCCTTATATTTTCCAACTTTGACTTGGCAGTTTATTAATGTTGCACAATAACTATTTAGAGCGATAAGTAATTTAAAAAAACATAAAATCAAGAAAGGTTACATATAGGGCTAGCTTAGCCTGGGATAACAGGCAAAACAATCAAAAATAAATGGCCAAAGAAATGGAACCATTTTAGATAAACAAAGCATTAAGCAAAAAAAAAAATAATAATCAGACTTGCTTATTCAAAAAATATTGAAAGTCTAATGAATGCCTACTAACACTCTTCCAGAAATGCGTTGTTCTAATGTGTTATTATGGAAAAGTGTGGCAACTTCCAAAAGAGACAGATGTTTTACCTTGTTTCCAAGGGATGCATGCAACAACATGAATTTCTGAGTGCGTCTGTAAGTGAAATGCATTCTCAAAACTGAAAACTAACAAGTTAAACATGAGAAAGACCAAACAGTCAGCTGCAACAAGTCTTGCAAGCAACATGAGTTTCTTTCATGATTTAGATCAAAATCACAGCTATTAAGGTATCCACATAAAAGGTTACACTTAGACTGGACCAGACACTGCATCCATTGTAATAAGTGATCCATTCCCTTCTGCCACCATGTCCGAGCTGCTAACAGGCAAATGTAGTAAGGACAAACCTTCCAAATCAGTGATCATCATTTCCTGCTTGTTCTTGAGTTTGGCCAAGTTTTTGGCCTTTTCTTCTTCTTCAGCCAGCTGAGAAGTACATTCAGCAATTCGATCCTCCATCAGCTTCTTTTCCTAGGTAGGAGAAAGAGGAGGAAGAACAACTTCTGAAACACAATTTGAAGAGTCTTTAAGTAGCACAAATAACTGAACATACAAAGTATGTATAGAGGTCTCACGCAGCATATATAATACAGATTTTATTTCAAGTCACTGATCTGTCAATATTAAGGATCAACTGGAATAGTATAGAAACATGAACATTTGTTTTCCAAGAAAGGAAGACTTGGAATTTAACACACGGGAAGTCTGGTTTTAGGCCACCATTTGCTGTGCACTTTTGGAAATCTGTTTGCAAAGAACACCAGTAGCCATGCTAAACACTGTTTCCAGCTCTTAGATTTGGAAGCCTCACGAAACTGGAAAGAACGCATGACAAATACCTCCCTTTTGAAGGTCACTTCAAAAGAACCTCTAAGTGTCTCAGCTTCAACCTCTTCAAACCCCACAAGTCTTCAGGCACAGACTTTACAGATAATCTAACAGCAGTCTCAAATGTTTTGAGAGCTATCACTTGGTGCTACTATTGCTTATGTGCAGAATGTCCACCATGCATACTGGTCTCACCTTCAAAAATTTGGAATTTTGGTCCTCCAGCAGCAGGATCTCCTCCTCCATCTTCTTGATCTTAGCTTCAGCTGTCACTTTTTCAAGCTGCAACTTCTGTCGAGCTCCCTCCTCCTCATCAAGCTGTTCCTCTAGGTCCTGGGAAGAAAGGCAATTGCATCTATGCATTTTCCAGGCTACCATATGGTTTTTGTTACTTGGTGAAAAAGATACAGTATTTTGAAAAGTCACCTGCCCTAAGTAACACTAAAAATGGATTTGCTTTCTTAGATTCGCTTATAGTATCAATGATCTGGTAATGAAATTAAGGGCCACGTGATGCATATGGCATTTGCTTTCTTAGATTCACTTATAGTATCAATGATCTGCTAATGAAATTAAGGGCCACGTGATGCATATGGAATTCTTTATGCTCTGTATTTCAGCTTTGGCTGTCTAGGAAGCATACACTCACTTCAGAGTCTTTCACCTTCCCAATACTGAACATAAAATAAAAAAAAAAATCTAGTTAAGGACAACCAAATCAGATAAAGCTTTATGTGAAAGGCTTCCTAGCATACTGCATCTGAATGAGGCATTTGGTGTAAAAGTGCAAGCGTCCAGGAAGAGACACCACAGGAAACAGATCTCCTGACTTCAGTATGAATCTGGATCTCACTATTACAGCTGAAACAGCTCAGGCAGTGGCACAGATGGCCAGATACAACTAGAAAAGCAATAACGTCTTGTGCTTCTATTTATTTGTGGTTTTAAATAAGATTCCAGCCACACATCAAGAGCTGTGATATGTGGCATTTATTTCCCATTCAAGTACCTTGAATATTTTGAAAGACAGGTGAGTTCTCAGGTATTCCCTTTTTTAAGGTCTCTGTTATTCAAAAGGAAGCATCTAAATCATCTGATTTTCACAAAAAAAAACCCCTAAGTAACTTGGAGGAGATTAAGTTGTCTTAGTTTCGTAAAAGTTAAAGAAGGAATAGTCTTCATTATATTCACTGGATTTCAATCAAAAAGAAACATTTCTCTCATAAGTGGCATCATCCCATCAGTCTGTTTCTGTATGAAAGCAGGTGGGCCCCATGCAGTCATTCCCAGTTCCCCCCACTCAACAGTGCTCGCTACCTTTAACACTCCATCTGCACACGCTATAGCTACTGACAGGGCATTTTGCCTTTTCTTTCTTTCCTCACCCTCACATGCCTGGAGACCACAAGAAGTTAAACACACTGAACACAAGAAAAGAGAAAAGAATCAAATTGATTTTATGCCACACATGGTGCTAAACTCCTCCGTGCCGTAGAGATGTCGAGGGAGCTTCCCCATCCTTACCTGCCCTGTTTGCATGCTTTTCCATTTCCAGTTACTGGGAAGCATACCTGAATATGGCCCTGCATTTTCTTTTTCTCATTCTGCAATATTTGGTTTCTTTCCTCTTCCTCCTCAACCCTGGACTCCAAATCATGGAGAATTTCTTCCAACTCTTGTTTTTTGGCAGCCAAGCGAGCCCTCATCTCCTCGGCTTCTGCAAAGAGCTCTGTCTCAGCCTGTAGCTGCTCTGCAAGAATGTTCTTCTCTTCTAGAAGCTGCAAATACACACAAAAGGTAGTAAAGCAGCAAAAACAACATTTCAAAGTCTCTCATGAAAGATTATACGTATGACAACTGAAAAGTTACTTAAAAGGCAAGTTCTGCTCTAATTCTCGACTCCCTGGTCAACATCAAAAACCAAAGACTGCTAGCAGAGGGCTTTATCAGCAGTCCAGAAGACACCAGCTTTCACAACAGGGCTACAGCAACATTCACTCATCCCTCCCAGTTTAAGGAACAAATCCTGCTGCATCTCCTCCACCTGCCCAGTTCTACCAGCAGCAAAAAGACGATGGATATGATTGTTTCCTGGACTGTTCCTCGCACTCATCCCTGCAGAGCAGGAAAGCAATGCCATGGGTAGCTGGGCTGAAACTGGCATTTGGAGTCACTAGGACTGAACTGGAACACGTTACTCCTTGCTGTGTAAACTTGACCTACAATGATCATCTAGTCCAACTGCCTGGCCACTTCAGGGCTGACCAAAAGTTAAAGCATGTTATTAAGGGCATTCTCCAAATGTCCCTTACACACTATCAGGCTCAGGGCATCGACCACCTCGCTCGGAAGCCTGTTCCAGTGTCTGAACCACCTCTCGGGTAAAGAAGTGTTTCTAAGGTTTAGTCTGAACCTTCCCTGATGCAGCTCTGAACCATTCCCACATGTCCTGTTACAGGATCCTAAGGAGAAGACATCAGCACCTCCCTCTCCACTTCCTCTGCTCGGGAAGCTGTAGAGAGCTACGAGGTCACCGCTCAGCCTCCTCTTCTCCAAACTAAGACAAATCCAGTGTCCTTAAACACGCCCCATAGGCCAAGCCTTCCAGCAACAGGAACTGATGCTTTGCCCTTCTAGATATCCATCCCAATTGCATCATGTCTCAAAATTACCGTAGTGATAAATACATGTCTATCTTTACTGACACTTTCAGCTCCTCTTTAAACTGATATCATGTTCCTTATCGGCACGAATCCATTTTCGGTTTTGTTCAATAATTGTCATAATTGCTTCCTCACAGCTTAAACTGCACACCCCCCAGAAGCATCTCACCCTGAAAACACACCTGAAAAGGAAAATGACACTACTACTGAAGTTCTGTAAACGAGGAAAGGCAAAAAAAGTTTTGATTTGTTAACGTGATGTTTCTGCACTCCTGGAGGAATGGTTCATGCTGTATCTTCCGATTCCAGATTTTGGCTGAGTGTGAAAGGAGTTCGCTCTCCTGATTGATCTCAGTGCTTTTGCTCACAAGTGTCTCCCCAACACGGCTCCCTCACATGGCATACAGTGCAATTCACATTCTAGATACCAAAAGCTGATCTTGGACACAAACCTGTTGATGTTTCCTCTCCATTTCCTCAAGTTCTGCCTCCACTTTTGTCTGTTTTTCTTTCACCTTCATTAGCTCCTCGTCCTTGGCTTGAAGTTCTTCTTCTTGACGAGTGACTTGAAGAAGAGGCTTCACCTGCAAAGATTTGAAACAAACAAATGAGAACCTGTGTTCACCTATTTACAAAAGTTAAAGAAAGTCACGGACTATAACGAACCTTCGTGAAGACCCTCCACCACTGCCAGTGCCTAAGCTTTAAATACGCAGCACAATTCCTCTGCAGGATTTTCAGTGCACTCAGCTGCTGCTGTTTCTTTGCAAAGGCCCTGAAGAGAGAAAGAGCAAAACATTTCATGTCAAATACAGCTGATCATCTGTCCATGTTTTTAATTTTTAGGTTACCCAGCCCTAGAACACTTGCAGACCATAAATAAGCTTATTTTTAAGTGTCAGTGTCTACACGGATTTATAAGTACTCATTCCTTATATGAAGGGGCAGAGCAAAAGCTGGATTCACCATTTGCAAAACACTAACTACAAGTGCAATTTGTTTTTACTCTTAACAGACCTTTTCTTAAAAAGTAAAATCAGGATGGATTAGACACTAAACTGTCCTTCAACTTCAAAAAAAGCAGCTTTCCAGAGTACCTGAGAACCTCCAGTGGAGCAGGAGGAGAGATTTTTTCGCAGCCACTAGCTATACTGCAAATAGCTGCGTGTGTCAAAGGCAGGATTAAGGAAAGGAGACATTGTTAAGAAATGAAGGCGCAAATTCTTATTAGGTAAAAATTCACCTAATACCCTGGTTACAACTACAGTTTATCAGGCAACATACTTTAAGAAATTGTCCCCTAAAATGGAAGTTTTAGCACATAGCTCCCTAACAAAGAGACTTAAGATGACCAAGAGAGATCAGATCATAGAAGCACACGTACTTCCTAGCCAGGTATCCTCTACAGACTGCTTGGAAGAAGATAATGATGTCTGTGATCTTCAGATCTCGTTCTTCTTCTAAGTGTGCCAAGACACCAGCTCGGAAAAAGATCTTGCTCTGTCCAATTCTGTATAAGTTGGGGTCCAGCTCTAAGGCTCTGATCTAAAGGGATAGGCAAGCACATTGTTTGTAAAAAAAGGACAATTTTCTTTTCAACTTCTCAATGTTTTAACAATATTTAGGTATGAACACTTACCATACGCTCACAAGCTTGTTTACCATCCATAAAACCTTTTGGAATTGCATTGGGAGTAAGGATCTCATACCTTTAAGTCAAAGGAAAAAACACCTTTACATTCAACAGTAAGCTACGTTATTATAAACCCATTAAGCTATAGTCACCAAGTGCACAGCTATGGAATTTCTCCAGAAAGTTTTTCCAGCAGTCCATTTTAGATTGTTTCCTCTTCCCTACTGTCTTTAGAATAAACTTGCAGTATTTAACTGCTTCAAGCTCAAGCCACTTCAAGACCTCACACATGGCTTTGGATTTTCTTTCAGCAGAGTTGGGAGAGGGGGGTTGGGGGTGTCTTCAATTATTAAACAAGGAACTTTATCTCATAAAAACTCAAAAGATTGTTCCTGCTGTTACCTCTGTCTGAATTCCTGGAACACTATCCTGTTTGGAAATCCCTGTCGACAAATCCTTATTCCTTCCAAAACACCGTTGCAACGAAGCTGATCAAGAACCAGATGTGGATCCAATTTTCCAGCCTGGACAAACAAAACAAGCATGATTTTTGGTCTTTGAATTTGTATTAATGAAAAACCATAGTTTTGTCAGGCTACCCTTCACAAAGTCAACTGTCTAAACAAGGGGATGTGTGGGGAAATCTGAGAAGATGTTTAATCAGTGTGAAAACTTCGTGAAACCTGGCTGCTGGTGCCAAAGGGGAGACACGGAGAGCACGCACAGCTTAACACCCGTGTAAAGACTCCAGCAGAAAGAAAGAACTAGAGGAGCAGTCTGCAGTACATACCCTCTTTTCATGGTTTGGAATGATGCAGCGAACAAAATTGGGATTAGTGTTTCGGAGCGTTGCCATCAGCTTGGTGAGAGACTCTTTGTACAGCTGGCCGACAGTCCGAAACATGCCCTTCTTGGTCTTGTACGCGGAGCCAAAGGCTGTCTCTGTTATTCCAGTGACCTGATCCAGACCCACAATCCGATCCACTGGGAAGGACGAGAGAAAATAATTAAGTGGACTTCACTATTTGTCAGGTGTAGACACGGGCAGGAAGAGGAGCAGAAGTGCAGCAGCAGAAGCTTTGCAGAACAAAGGACAGAGGTGCCATCCGTAGGCAAGGCAGTCAGCACGGACCGGGAATGCTGTGCGGAAGCAGTGGAACCAAAAGCCACAAACTCATACGGCAGAACGGTGTAGCTTTAGTAGGGACAGGCCAAAACATCCAGCTCTTTGCTTGCAGTTCTACATGACCAGTAAAGCCATTTTCTTGATTTTCAGTCAATTTTTAAGAGATAGAAAGCTGCCTGGAAACTGGCGATTATTTGAATTCTCTTAAAGAAAAATATTTCTGGGTTGAACATTTGGAATTAGACATCTGTGTGTATTTGCTTAAAATGAAGAGTCACTTATGGTAATTATATAGATTAAATGAGTTTCGTTGATTATTCAAAAGTGTTTTGAAAGCGTAACTATTTACAGAAGAGTTGAACATAGTGCAATTTCAATGACAAGAGGGGGAAAAAAAAATTATCTGCCAGACTTCTGCTAGCCTGCTTTTTTGAAGAATTCCCCCACATTTTATATAGAACTGCAAAGATCTCCCTAGCCAAAAGACGAGTTTCAAAACAAGAAAACTGCACACCAAAGCACTTCAAAGCTGCCATAAAGCATCAGAATGGAGATTTCTCTTTGATTTTTTTTGAACATTTTGGGTAAGGATCTCTCCAGTTTCTTCTTCAGAAGCACAAATTAGGAAATTGACTGCCATCGTTAAAACCTTTAGGCCAAAACATGAACGTGATTCCACGTGCATGTCAACAATTATTTAAACAGCTTGCTAAAAGAAAAAAACAACATACAGGTGGCTTAATACCTTAATAATTATAGTTGGCACTACTTAGTACTGAGCAAATACACAACATATATTGGTTCTCCATGAAATCCAAGCTGGCCAGCCAGAAACAAACAACTATATGTAGGCTATAATTTAAATTTTGTGAAGTTGTCATCAAATCCCCTCAAACCAAAGCGGAGGGAGTTATGCTTTGCTGCCAGAACTAGTTTCATATATCACAAATAAGTTACAATACTTTATTTCATACTTGTACTCAATTGGTTTTCACAAGTCTATAAAAAATGAAAAATCAAAAGCAGAAAAATACAGGGCAACAAGTTTGAAGAATCACTTGTAAGTCGTGCTTGTGGTATGTGTCAGAGCCCAGATCCTCCACACAGTTTTGAACACGAGAATCTAAGCGGCTTATTAAAGTTAGAAGAATAAGTAGGTGGCAAGTTGTTTGTAAGTTCATATCCCAAATATTTCCTTTGAAGCAGAATTCAGTTCTAAACCAGAAATGGGATGGAGATTACTGGGAATCAGTCTTCCAGAGGATGAACATAACAGCTTACAAATATTAGAAACATGCACCCAGCAGACACCTCTAACAACTGGACACCATTCAGCTTTTGTCTGGCCATGTACTTTTAAAAATTTCTAAAGTGTATCTGATAATTGTGCATCTTTTCTTTTGCTCCCCTCTGTCCTCCAACTATAAAGATGGTTATTCAGATTTCAAAGAGGATTATTAAAATTAAACGTAAGCTTTCTCTAGAGGTTATTGAACAGCTTGACTGGACATTCACCCATTGGCGAAAGCCTCTGAGCTCAAGCCCTCCAGTAATTACTGTAGGAAACACCACCAGCTTCCTCAAGGATGTGATATATCATGAGTAGTGGAAGATAAACCCAAGTAAAGATCAAAAGTCTGAAGGTACAACCTTCACATACACATATTTCTCAACTTGGGGAGAGGAATACCAGAAGGATGAAGAAGAGGTTGGATAAAATATTTAACGTGTCTTCAAAAAGACATTCCAAAGAGGTGGATTTGTTGATTTCTCAAAACCTAAAAAAAACCCGTGTGCAGCTTCTACAAAGGGAAATACTAAAATTAAGAGTTTTTTTAATTAAAAGAACAATTCCAACAAGTGCAGAAGTTTATTTCGCTTACTACCCCCACTACAAGTGTAGCACTCATTCTGATACTTCAACACATTCTTCAGCTCTCCTCCCCCAAAAAATACATCCGCCTTCTAAAATATTCCAGAGTTTTGTCAATGTTGGACTGCAGAAAGAAGCTTGATAGTGTTACAAAGCTTATGCATTCTCTCAAATGCCTGGAGCTATCGGAATTATCACTTAAGAAGCAATTCTGCATCTCAACATGGAACTAGGAAGCAACAAACCTTTTTATCTGCAATGCTTAAGTGCAATGCATAAAATACAGATGCTATATGTATGCAGCAGCAACCGAATAGGTATGCACCGAGACCACTTGCCTGGTGGAGGTATACCTAAGTTTAGCATGAAATGAAAAGTTCATGCAAGCCTACGAGCAAAAATGGTTTTCCTGTAGGTACAACAGCCCTGCCTTTAGTAGGCCTACTGTTTTTATATCCATTCACCTGGTGGATCATGAAGACCAGTAATATTGTCATAGAAACAGGCTCTCTGAATATTCTGAATCTCTAAGGCAGAGAAACAGCAAAAACAGAAAGACAGAAGAGCAGATACACAAGACACTTCAGTTAGTATACAGAACAGGTTTATCAATTGCAAACACACTCAACTGTGCTACAGAAGCAATTAGGCCACAACATTCCATGCACATCTCAATTATCTGTGGAAGCAGGTTTTGAATATTTGGACTAAAACACTTTTGCCTCTGTTGCGTGTACTCAAAACGAAAAGAGCAGATCCCCAACCAAAGAGTTCTTTATATATTCATTAAAACTGCTCCCTGTAGCTCAACGAAGAGGGAAACTCAGCATTAACCTACAGCATCATCTGTATCACAAGCTTAATTTCCTCCTTGAATAAGAAGCTACAGGATTTAAGTACTGTGACATGTAAATAGACTCTAATTAATACACTGTGATGTCAAAAACTAGAATAGAAAAGTCCCTGCTAAGTATTTATTTGGCTATTTCTGCTTCTTGAAGTATTTTGGTAAAAACATTGATAAATACTTTGAGCTGATGTGCTGGTGAACTAGCTAAACAGTGTACTGTTAAAACAGGAATACACTGCATTTTATTTTAATATGCAGTATCTAAGCACTAGTTTGACTGTTAATGAATTTTATTTTAGAAGACGCAGATTTCCAGGGTACCACCCACCACTGCCCATGAAACAACTGTGCTGGTGCTCACCCAAGACAGCATTTTATTAACAGCAAGAACCAGTACAGCTGTTTACATTCAGGACTCCACTGCAGTAAGTCCAGAGACAAGATTCTACATGAAATTTGACACAGGGTAACAAGTAGTAAGCGAGTTATCAGTTCAAATAATGAACATGAGAAGCAGCTACTCAGAAATGGTACATGTGCAAGGGACCATAGATGCAACCCAGCTTCCTCGTTGTACTTTTGGCACTAAACAATAGAGAAAATGCTGTAGATATTTACAATGTAGAGGTGGAGGGTGAGGAAGGGATAGGCACAAAAAAAACCCCAAAACATGTCATCCAGCAAGGTAAAATCGTCAACAACTTGTGTGCTCAGAGCATGATCTCTTACCATCCTTCCAAAGCTCTGCAACAAATTTGTCAGAAGACTGGTGCAAGAGCGTAGCCACATTGTCGTTCAGGGGGTCCATATTCTTCATCAGCCACTCGTCTGCCTTGTAGTCCACCTGCAGAGCAGCCAAGTTGCACAGCGTCAGGCGACCAGCTTTAGTTTTAACTTTGCCAGCATCAAAAAAAAGCTTTCAGCATATTATACTGATGTTCTCCTCCTATTCTCTTCATGAAGCTTGCTATGAGTTAGTTGTGTCTTCTTAGAACGGTTCAAAGAACCACAAAAAATTATTATTCTTTCTAAAGAGTAAATGGGGGTTTTCTTAAAAATTCAGCAATCTGACTTTTTGCTTACTAATAGCTGGCACACATTTTCAGCCAAGTGTTATTGTCAAAATAAGGCTTCACTGTTCACTGTGAAGATGTAAAAACAACTGTAGTATAGATCCTAATTACTTTAAATTACTCAAAAGTGAATTAAGGATGTGCTGCAGTATGAAGTTTTTTAATTTCACTATAGCAGTTAAACACTTTCTTCTATAAAGAAAACAAAGCTCTTATCTTGAAAGAGCCAATTCTGTGGTTTGCAATTAAACTATAGCTCAGCAGTTGAAAACTCAACGCTACCAACATGGGTTTCATCTCAGTCTGAAAGAGAGCCCTAAAATTCCCTAAGTGCAACAAAATCCCTGTATAGACTTGCATGTTCTTGTTTTAACTGAACCAAGAATTTTCTATTTTTAAATAAGAGCCTTGGAAGGAAAGCCACATTTAAATGCTTCCAACATCCAGAACCAAGTCGGATCATTACCTCAGTACTTCTTGCACCAAGCTGTTTTATTTCATTTTGATTACCTAAAGGTAACCTATTAACTGCAGTAACAGTGATGGTTTCATTAGTTCTAGGTAACTGTTTTAAATATTGCTACAATAAAATGTGTAATTGCTTTATTTCACTTTTTTTTCTACAATTATCTAGTTGGCACCACCATCAGATAGATAACAAGTCATTAGTAGTTTGAATGAAAATTAAAGGATAGCTCTCAGTTATTCAGACAACTCATTTCTTCTAAGTATCAGGGCAAGAACTGGTACTAGGATTAAGCTTTAACTATTTATGAAACTAATTACATAGCATGACACTATAGAATAAAGCTGGTGATCACAAAGGATCCACAAAATACAAGAATTGCAGTTATTTCATGGACTTGTTCACAACGCACCTGAGCTCTGTCCCCCTCAGCAGGAGACTAAAGGCTGAACTAACAGCAAAAATGAAAAGGTATCTGCATAAAAGGGGATATGCAGGAAGTCTTGCATGAGCTGAGGAGATAAAAGTGGGAATGGTACTGATACAGCCCTACTTCAAGCACTGCTATCAACTTGGACACATGGACATTCAGAAGATATTCCTTTTAATAAAGTCCTAAAAAAATCCTTCACCTGTAAGACCTGGCAACAAAATTAAAGGAAACGGAACTATCTGCTCAATTTAATATTAATTTACGTTTTTCAGTTCTGTCTGTTTGGTAACAAGAGTTCCATCAGAGCTCTCCTGAATATGTTCAAGAAAATTCAACAAGGCCTCCCTGCTGCCCAAGTATTTCTAAGTTTGGTAGCTATACTGTAAGGTGCTTTCCAAAAACCAACGTTTCTAATCAAGTATTTAACATTTAACCCTTACCTTCCCTGCATAGTGAATAATGCAGAAGTCTGCTTTGTCCTTCAGCTGTCTTGGCTTTTGGAACTTGGAGTGGGTTCCTTGCTCTTGGACCAATTTTTCCACAAATGTCTTGTCAGTAGCTTTAGGGAACCAGCATTCTTCATCCAGTAACGCTAACACGCCAGGAGGATTTGCCTGAAATTCAGTTGGATTTAATCTGTGTTAATATTTAATATACATATTTTTAAAATTTTAAGATTTAAGACTCACCATTGAACGTCACAATAAGAAACGATCTAAACTGATTTAAATCTGATTTAAATTTAAACAAGCTGTGAAGGAGTCTGGTTCAATGAAGGACGTTATGACTGGTTCATCCAAATTCATCCCGATGGATACAGAGCCAGACACGACCGACCTGATCTGGAGCTGACTAGAGCTCTGCTTTGAGCAGAGACTGGAATAGCTGACCTCCAAAGTTACCTTCCAAACCTTTCTGTGACAGGTACGTACATAGCAGCTCAGCCACGTTTCCACAGTAGTTAGTGCCATGCTTTAATGTGGGCTAAACTCAAGACAATCATCCCTCGCAGCCGCTCGATGCTGCCTCCCCTTGCCAAGTCTCGTGGGCTGGTCCATAGCAGCAGCATCCAAAGAGACTCAGCAGGCTAAACTGGAGCAGACAGCACAGTTTTATATACTCCTCCTCCTTCCATATCATTTAAGCACTCCACTTGAAGACTTGTTTTTTCTTAAAATGAAGCAGGGAACAACTAATGTCTGTATTTTACAGCTGTAGAATTGTTTGACAGGATCATTTTCTTCAAAGACAGACTGATGTACACAGGAAAGCAATGGGGGAAAAATGGGTTTATAATTATTTACATTTTAAAAGTTTCTTGTGAATGTAAAGCTTATACATTTGAAGAGAGATATTTCTATGTGCCTACTGCTTGGCATCACATTTACAGAATAGTTATGAAGGTACTTATATTTGCTTTTCCAAAAAAAAAAGAAAAATCAACTTAGAATCATAGAATAGAATCACAGAATGGTTTGGGTTGGAAGGGACCTTCAAGACCATCTAGTTCCAACCCCCCTGCCATGGGCAGGGACACCTTCCACTACACCAGGTTGCTCAAAGCCTCATCCAACCTGGCCTTGAACACTTCCAGGGATGGGGCAGCCACAGCTTCTCTGGGCAACCTGTTCCAGTGCCTCACCACCCTCAGAGGGAAGAAGTTCTTCCGTAGATCTAATTGAAATCTCCCCTCTTTTCAGTCTAATTGAAATCTCCCTCATTGCCCCTTGTCCTGTCACTCCACATCCTTGTCAAAAGCCCCTCTCCAGCTTTCCTGTAGGCCCCCTTTAGGTACTGGAAGGCTGCAATAAGATCACCCCGGAGCCTTCTCTTCTCCAGGCTGAAAAGCCCCAACTCTCTCAGTCTGTGTCCATAGCAGAGGTGCTCCAGCCCTCGGATCATCTTGATGCATTTTAGGATATTCACCTAAACATCTGCATACTGAAAGCATCCACACTTAACCCCTGGGGCCTTTGGCAGAGATTTTACCTTCCAAGGAGACAGGCCTTTCTGCAGTTCCACACACAAAGTGCAAACCTTTGATAACTGAAACGAGGTTTCCTTTTTCCTACTCTAAGGCAAAACAAGAACATAGCTCATGGGTTTTTCTGCTCTTCAGGATGCACAGCATCATGGGCAGCTTATGTGTATTCTAGAATACACACACAGAAACGTAGAGAGCAGCAACTGCAATGCCTAAGGTCTAATTTAAAAGGTCAGGAACTAATTTGGACAGCATAGTTCTGAGGTGTGAAGAACAACAGCTTTCAGGAATGATGATCTCTGTTCTCCTCTAACTGGTCCTCCTGCTCTTTGAAGCTCTCTGCAGGTTCCATATGTTGAGTAACCAGAAGAATACATTAAAAAACATAGTGATTAAAACCACCTTTAAGATACTGTGTTCCTATTTGCAAGGCAGATTGATGGGGAAAACTCTAGTTTCAGGAATTTTGCTGTTGATCTCAAATGAAAAAAGTTTACCATAAGGCTTGAAAAGCTTTCTAACTGAGCCACCACTCTAAAGCTATAACACAATGTCATGGTTTAATATGAAAGTGAGAGGATTAAAGACTTCATTAGCACCAGGGGGAAAAAGTATAAAAATAGTAGCTTCATATCTTTAGCTCAGTGTTCTACCCTAACATGAGGGCAAAATCCCATAAGGATAAATCCTTTTACTAATACACAGTATTTTAGACCTCAGCATTCAAGTGAATTCACTTTTTGTGACAGCCCCGCACAGAAATGCCTATCCAGCCTTACAACTTGCAGGCAGTGAAAAACAAACGCGGAATTCTAACCTCTTCTCAGAGTATTATTAGTGCACAAACTCACAGGTCTTTCGATTAAGTCAATGCAAGGCTGCAGATCCAGTCCAAAGTCAATGAAATTCCACTCTATGCCCTCTCGTTGGTACTCTTCTTGCTCCAGGATAAACATTGTGTGGTTAAATAACTGCTGAAGCTTCTCGTTGGTGTAGTTAATGCAGAGTTGCTCAAAGGAGTTCAGCTACAAGAATAATATTAGTAAGCAAGAATAATTTAGTGGCAGGATTTATCACATTTACCTGGAAGTAAAAAATTCGACCTTACAAGGAAATTCCCCCAAACTCTGCAACATTCAAATGTAGCGTAAAGAAAACTGGAAAAAGCGTTATACAAATCTCTCATGTTTCCTGTTATGTGTAATTAGACTAACATATAGCATGAAAAGCCATCAAATATAAAAGAACAATTTAGACTAAAGTCTGACTTCCTGGCACTGTAATTTCGGGTTGTCAAAGGATTTGCATTCTACAAAACAAAACTCTCCTGCAGCCTTGGAACACGCATGCAGTAAGTGGCTCTACAGTTAGTCCTGAACGTGCATTAACAGGGAGAAGAAAACTGCTTAGCAGTGTTCTGAAGTACCTCGAAGATTTCAAATCCGGCAATATCCAGAATTCCAATAAAAGACGCTCCCTGTCGTTTGGTCCTGTCCAAAGCTTTATTAATGCGGTGAACGAGCCAGCGGAAGAGGCGTTCGTAGGTGGCCTTTGCCAAAGCTTCCACTGCAAAGTCTGCCTGAAAAGCCAAACAGGAAAATTTATTTACCCTGGAGAAGTCATCAAAAGAACAGAGACATGGATGTTATCACAAATAACTCGGAGAAGTAGTTTAATGGAATTAATACCACTGAAGAATGAAAACAAGCAGTAGAAACAGTGTGCAGTTAGATTAATGTGATGAAAAATTTGGTTTTAAACCATTCCAAAAAAAACCCAAAAGCTCTCTGCATGTTTGATACATACAACAATGACATTAAAGGCTGAAACCAGCAGAAGGTCAAGGAAAGAGACTACTCTACCATTGATTTTTACCATGTAAGAACATTTAATAAAGACAGTCAGCTTCAACAAGGCAGTGGCAGCGCACACTTAATGCCAATTCTCCTTAAGGCACCACAACGTACTTGTTCTTTGGTCTGGGCCTTCTGAACGTAGTCTCTGCCAACTTTGATGCGCGGTGTCAGAATGGCCCGGGTGAACTCCATGACGTTCATTCCCAGCAGATGGCAGAGCTTCTGTGCGACTGGAGATGAAAGCGACAAACGGAAGGAAGCAGTTAAATCCTGACAAAGGCCATCCTGTGCCAGCTTAAAAACCGAACTGCCATTCAAGACAGCAGTCAGGGAGATGCACCTCTGTCCCATGGACAGATCTACTCTGTCACACAGCTCGTGCCTCAGGGCCTCCAGCTCCAAGACTCTACAGAAGTACAGCTCTGAGTTGCCTTAGGGGACTGCCGAAAACAGCAGATTTCATGGAAGCGCAGCGAGGTCACGTAACAGTCCATAGTCCATGTACAAGTGTTCATTTTGTTACTTTAAAAGGGAAGATTGATTTTCTCATCTCCAGAAAAAAAGCACAGTATGAGGACATCACACATCAACTCCATCATACTAAAGGTTGCTCAAAAAAACTGTGTTTCAGCTTAGGCAGGTTTGGCAGTGTAATGCTGCTGTTACAGACTACATCCAAACACATTGTTTAAACAATTTAAAAGATTGGTTTGTTATATTTTATACAGAATAACACCACGAGCAGCAGCACGTTTTCTTTAGACAGCATGGACTCTCCCGGTGTCACGTTCATGATCTGAAATAACACCTTACCCCCACCATCATTACACATTCTTGCTGCACCAGTCCCTTTTTCTAAAAACAAATCTTGCAGTAGGTTGGGTGTTTATGATTCCATACTTCTAAAAATGAAAGTGTCACTAAAGGTATTTTTAGGTCTGGGTAAGTGCTGCCCTTTAGCAGGACGCCCTCCACACTAACCAGTAAGTACTTTAACCCCTGAACTTTGTAATCTGACAGCTCGTTGGTTTGCTGTCAAAATGAAAAAAGCTATTTTTACAAATCAGCATTGGAAAACAGATTTTAATACCAATATAGAAAAGCTTCCTCTGCCTTTTTTTTTTACTAGTCTTAAAAACACTACTACTTGCCCTTAATGTTGAGATTCTCTGTCTGGCCATATACTCATTAGAAAGGTTCATGAATCAACACACAACTTCACCAGTCAAATTAGGGTAGCATCACAAATTGAATATCCCTTTCACTTTAGCTACATACAGAAGCGTTTTTGTGCTTTCAGTATCAAAATACACATCAGCACATCAGATACAACTTACGACCTTAGGTGTCAAGTAGCAAGTGCTGTCAGGATCTTTAAAAAAAAAACACAACAAACAAGAACTGGAAAATATTAAGTAGCCACGAGCATCAGCTTGGTACTGTGGCATAATGGACATCACATAAAAGCCATCACAGTTTTTAAAGCAGGCAGGGTACCATGCAGTACTCCAAACACTACACTCAGCTCCTCTTCCATGAACCTGCGACATGGAATTTATTGTCCCCACCTTTCCAGTTTGTAACAAACCACAGCTTAACAGTAACAACAATAAACCATAGCAGAGGTAATACTGGTTCAGGTGCCGACGGAGGCTGTAGCCAGCATTTCAGAGGGTCAACTGAAGGAAACAAAATCATTTTCAAGTCAAAGCTCTATCACTTCGAAGGGTAGGACTGGTTCACACTACTTCAGCTTGATTAATCTTGCACTTCAAAAAAAAGCATAATTCATCTTGTTTGTTTATAACTGAGGAAGGTCCATTTAAAAAAGTGTGATAGCAGAAAGCTCTGACTATCCTGACTTGTTTTGTTACTATCAGATTTTGGATATAAAGTTCTGAATTATTATAAAGCAAAGATACTGAAAAAGCTCATATCATATCTGAAGCATGAACTTTATAAGATTGCTTATGAACTGCTGCCCTTTCAGTAGAAAGGCTTCTTCCAAAGCTGGTAAGTGTTAAATACATACAGCTTCTCCCTCCTCTTCATCCATGAAGGCTATATGGCTTTCTTGCCATCTCTTGTGTCTATACTTGAGACTGGTATTTGTTTATCTATATTTGTTATCAATAAGGTAGAATTCGCTTTCCATTCTCTTTGAATAGGTTCACATCTCCACTATCTACACAAGTTCCTTCCCTTCTATGAAGACACTCACCTGACCTATCTCAGACACTTGCCTCTAAATGAGGTGAGTCACTACCAAGACACTTATTTGTCTGGAGGACTCCAAGGAAAGCCATTACAGTGAGATGCGACAGTAGAGATGACAAGAAGGGAGAGACTGGTTTCACTCAGTGTCTTCAGAAAGATACAATAACAAAGACCACTTCACCAAATAAAGACATTTTTAAATACAAGAGAACAGAAACACGCTTTATGATCTGAGCTTTTCAGCATCTTTGCTTTATAATTTAGAATTTTTGCATCCAGCATTATAAATATTCAGTAGCATCAATGTATTTATATCTAATATTATAAATCAGAATTCATGTCCAACGAACAACGGTAACACAAAAAAAGTCAAGATAGTCAGGAAGTAAGAAGCATCCGTATCTTTCCACATCACACCTACGTGGGCAGTGACCCAGCTGAGTTGTCTGAGCTGGCACTAAGAGCCCAAAACACTAATCCCTCACCCGACCTGGTTTCCTCGCTGCAAAACTCAAAGTGCCAACTGCCAGCCAAGTATCGAGCCAACGACTATTGCACTTGAACCCGTACCTGCTTGCTGGAGCCCTGTGGGCAGCAGGCCACCGCCCTGAGAAACGACACAAATTTTGGACGTTGCAAGCAGCCTACGTGCCCGGCAATTTAGGACAGTTATGAAACAAGACACAGCCCAGGGTTTGGGTTCTGCATGTGCAGCAGGTCCCGTGAATGACGGTTCTTACTGCTGGTTCCACTGATGTCAATTCTCAGAGCTGCCTTTCCATCGGAGTATTTAATAGGCTGGTGCTGAATACTAAATGAAAAATCTGAGATTTGCTTCAGCAGCTATCTTTTTTTTGGTGAATATACTCCTCGAAACGCTGATGGCATTGCAAGTATAACTGATAAATTAAATCTTAGCCACACTGCCACGCCGCTTCAGAAATCAGATTTTTCTAAAATACAGCATTCTTATGTTCAGCTGTTTCACTACAGAAGTTGTGCTTGGCTCCGGGGTTCTTATCATTGGCAAGAAAACTGCTGTCAAGAACCAAAGAAAACAAACTGCTTTAAGCATGCACTTTTTGCTGTTGCTTATTTGTAGGTAGCAATAAACAAGACTACAACTGAACTACGTGTTCAAAGTTTAGAAGCAAAGCAAACAGCATACATTCTGTTGATGGATACTTACATTTGTCTGCATTATAAGAACGGAAGAGGAGAGTTTTACTAATTGCCCGTTGGCTACTACCGCAACAGTCACGGCCTCTTTTTGGCACACAATGCCATCAAGGAAGCTCAGAAGATTGCTCTGTACTTTTAAAGATATGCACTAAAAAAACAGCAGGAAGAAAACTACAGCACAACAAACGTGATCAACTTACCAGTATTCTCTGGCATAGAAGCTTGATCAGTATTTCTCTCCTTCTTAAAGGAAATATTTCCAAACTGTAGCACTGAAGACACCACTTTCAGCATTGCTGTGTTAACAAGAGACATATGCACCAGTTTAATCGAAGAGGGCTCAGCTTCACTAATTTTTCTTCTGTTATTTGTGCCACTTCCAAATTCAGAGTATAAGATCAGAAGGGAAATAAAGCTCCTACTGTACTTTTTGGGTAAAGGGCTTTAGTCAACTCTAGCTGATGGTAAGCAAGCATTTGCTGCAGGGTGTCAAGACACTGAAGCAACATTAAATGTGGTGACGTTAACTTAGCAAGTGTGTGTGCATGCATGCAAGAGAAAAAAGTACATTTTAAAATCCAAAAGGTTCAGTAACTTACACAAGATCTCATCATGCGAAAATCCCATGATATGCATGGCTTCCATAGTCTCCTGGAAGTTATCCTTGTCTTGTTGCCCAGGAATAGGGATGTAGCCATTAGATAAAAATCTGTAATTGTTAAATCCTTCAAGCAGCAAATCAGCTGTATTGGAGGGAAGAAACAGAAAAATAAGCTAAAGAAATGCCGTTCACACCCACCTGTACTCTGTCCTTGCCAACTGCACAAACCATGCTTTATGAAATCAGTTCCTCAAACACGGCTATGAGCCATTACACCAGCTTCTGAAACTCTAAAAACGTGAGTGTACCTTGGAAGCTGAAGCCAGATTCCCAGAACCTGTCTGTAGCAACCTACATTAGATCTTTAATGCATTAAGTCTGTAAACAGAACATTACCCAACTCAGATCCAGCATAATCTCAAATCTTGGTTTCAAACATCCTAAAATAAATATTTCTATTGAAAGGTAACAGACATGGGCAGAAACGGAGTTAGGTGTTGATGATTACTACATCAAGGATGCTGAATATCAGTTTATCTAATATAGGAGGATAAAGAGTGGATCAGTTTTCTGAAGTCTTCATGTAGTTTCACTTATCACAAACTAACAGAAATTCCCAGTTACCAAAGGGGAAAAAAAAAAAAAGTAGGAGATAACCAACACAGTACTTCATTGGCTGAAGAAAGCTCCAGAGATTCATTATGTTCTGGTAAAATGGTTGCTCCTCTGCCCAGTCTGAAGGCACGGTCCAGAATAGATCCAGCTGTCATCACCGACCAGGTTCGTTATTTATCAGCTGGGAGCACTGCAGTTTCAATCCAGTGACTCCCAGCCAGGGCTGCCCAAACTGGACTTTGTCAAGTAGGAGCCATTTGCTTGAAATGCAACAGCTGCTCGACAGTATGGGTGATAAAAACCAAGTTCTTTCACAATAAAGCCACTTGGCTTTTCATTTGTCTTTTAAAACTCCCTGTTCCAAGAGCACAGAACAGTTCACACGCGACTTAACACTGAAACAACAAACATGGCACTCGTAAGCAACGGGTTTACAAAATGAGATTCTCAACTTACACTTCAGGTGCTCTCCTGCTCCAGCCAGTAGTTGATAGAAGATATGAAACGTCCGCTCATCTTTAGCCTGACGAACAGCGCGAGACTTTTCCAACAAGTCTGATTATAACTAGTCAAGGAACTTCTAATTTTTGGTTAAAAATGTCCAATGCAAACAAAACTTTCAAAGCAGGAGATATAATTACTTTAAGACCAAGTAGAACTTTGATAGCAATGACAGGACTACGTTCACTATGAACTTTCAGTAACTTTAAGTAAGAGGTTTCCAATTCAGACTGGTAGAAGCCCACATTTAATTTCAGCAAACTCATTTCTTGGCTGTTGACTTCACTTCCCTGCTACACACAGCTGACAACTGTCTGTAACGATCAGCTGAAGTCCAAGGGAGAAGGGGAGCTGGCCACTCTTTTTTAATCACTTTTTCTGTTAAGGATATCGCTGAACTCTTAACATCAAGAACTCAGCAGCTGCTGAGCTCCAAAGGACTTTATCTGAAGTGCATTTGTCGTTTCTCTCAAGCTTTGCATTTTACACACGATCTGCGCTGCCTTTAAACAGCTCCCAAATCCACCGTGCGCAGCAGACAGCACCTAATTATCACATAAGCTGTGATATAATTTAAGTTTCTATTTCTTGTTATTCCATATTGTGGAATGAATATGGGACAGGGATTTGAAATGCCACAGGTTCTGAGCAAGGATGAGTCCTTGTGATGAAGAAAAAAATTCTCCAAGAGTTAAGTCCTCCTGTTTTCACAAAGCTCTAGGCGAAACAGTTCATCTGAACTTTCATGAAAGCAAAAACTGCCTTCATTCCTGTGCTATGCTGAAGGAAAAAATCATTTATCATTAAAGTACATTTTGAATAAATAAAGAACTTCCCAGCTTTCTTGAGAAATCACGTTTTATGATAGTTCTAAACATTCAATGCACTTAATTTTAAGCAGTTTAACTCATGGTAACAAAATGAAAGTTTAACTGCAGCATAATTTATGATTAATACTCACATGATACTGGTTACTAAGACTTCCAATTTCACAATTTCGTGACCACCCTATTGCTATTCCCCTAGAAAACAGGCTAAACAAACTAAAAAAAAAAAATTATACACACATGTAGTATAAGGAAAACAACTTTACAGAAGGGCTTTCAGTGCAAGTATTTTGACTTGTTCTTACACAGTCATAAATAAAGCCTTAAAGCTAAAACTGAAAAAGGTTTCCATATTAATTGCTAGTAGGTCTTGTGTTACGGAACCTACACTGGTATCTAGAAGACCCAAGGACACAGAAGGTGTCCCAGCACCTCCAGCTCTACCGCTTTACACCGAGCACCGCCTCCTTCCAGGCAGAGAGCTGCTTCTGCAGCGCTGACGAGAGCAAGACCAAGCTTTTGGCACACTACAGTAGCTCAGCTTCTGATTAGGAAAGCTTTTTTATTTTCTAGAAATGTTCATAAAGCAAGCACGCTTTAAACTGTTTCCTTTTTTAACATGCCCTGCTTTTAAGGCTAATCTGAAAATCCAGCAGATTTCAGAGAGCTAATTTTTGGAGTGTCCGATTTCTAAGCACGAGGAAGCACGCTGACTTTGTGATATTTGACCAGCTATTTTGAAACAAAGGAAGAGATGGATGTTGTCAAAGGAATGTAGGAATGTGGCAACCTTTCGCTGCATTCCAACGAATTCTTGGGTTAAAAGCAAAACAAACGGGAAACTTGCATTTTACAATGATGTGGCATGAAACAGGATACATGTCTCAATGTTGGCCCCAACAATATAACCAGTAACATCGAAGTTAATCCTAATGAACTTGCCCTGCAAAGAAAAGAGATGGTTTTGTAATTACTAATTTTTTTATTACGACAATAATACTGGCTGTAAAAACCAAAATCCTACTTGCATTCATACAACAAGCATTTCACACAAGTTCTACTTCCATTCCATACACACTTCTACTTCCATTTCCAAAACCAGGATGGCCACTATTTGCACAGCTTCTCTTTTCCAGCAATTGGTAAAGAAAGGACTGAGAGAGACAATATACCTGTTTCTTCCACACACCCCTCCTTTTTTCCACAAAGGACTAAACAAAGAGCATGCTTCCCACCTGTAGAGCAGCTCTTGGAAAGAAAGTAGTTGCAAGGGGCTGTATCGTACAGCTTTAAGCCACACCAGTTCCCCAGTCTGATTGGTCACTTGGCTATGAACATTCCCAACAGAACAACAGGCTCTGGCTTGGAGTTGGACCACTTTTAACAGCATCATGACTGTATTTCAAGTTAGCACTTGTGAATCCATTAGGTAATTCCCCTGACTGCAAACACGTGAACAAACCAGTGGGAATACCCAGTGACTACACTGGGCTCTCCATCTTCATTGCATCCAATTTCTACAGTTCTCTATTCACATACAAACAGGTTTTGGAGACCAGGAAGCATCACAGCAGTTTGCTAACAACTTCCTAAATGCTTCTTTTGATGACATCTGCACAAGCCACCTACCTTTTGTGGAGGCCTTCTGAAATCATAGAACCATAGAATGGATTGGGTTGGAAGGGACCTCAAAGATCATCTAGTTCCAACCCCCCTGCCATGGGCAGGGACACCCTCCACTACACCAGGTTGCCCAAAGCCTCATCCAACCTGGCCTTGAACGCTTCCAGGGATGGGGCAGCCACAACTTCTCTTGCAAAGAGCTTGAAAGCACTCTCACAATCAGTACCCAAATCCTCACTTATCTCAAGTCTGACTGATTAGTGTGTTAAAGTGAATTCCCGTTTGACAGATCCGTTCAGCTCAGGGACTGTAGTATGGCTTTTCATAGTAAATGTTCTACTCTACAAGCTTGTAGAACATATGTATCCCAGCAATGGCCTGACCTAGTTACGTGTACATTGGAGGGGTACATGGCCATGCTGCAGACTTACACCTGAACAAGTTGCTGCAACCATTTGACCTATTGTAACTTCTTACCAGAACATCCTCCCCTTCTTGACTTCCCTGAAAAAGCCCATCCATGTCAACAAGATTTGTGTACACCAGAGTGACCAAGTTTCTCCCCCCAACCGCACCAATGAATCGAGAGAAAGGTACAACTGACCTACCAACCTCATCTTGACTGAGTCTCAGAGCAAAGTGACTGCTCCGTGACTGTGGTTGTACATCTTCAGCTCAAAGTGATTTCTCCAAGTTTCAAGAAAACTGGTGGAATACTTTAAATTGGCTTCAGTGGTTACTCCCTACTGCTTAACCTGCAGTTTGGACAGAAAGCGAGCGGCACTAAAATGACCGTGCCAAGGAACAAGGCTCATCAGCCCTGTCAGGGACCTGCTTGAACTCAGATTTCTGAGCATGAAGAAAGAGAGCACTCTAAGCCCAGCTTGTAACTGAAGCATCTATACTTTTTGCTTAGTAACAAATCCACAGAGCTGTATCTATAGCTGTCACAAAGACTGAACTGACGTTTTACTGAAATTCAGCCAACAGACTAGATGTCTAACACGTGTCAGCACTAGCATGTCAAAAATGGCAGCTGACAACTTTTTATCCAGAACAGGTACCACCGAGCCTTCTTCAAATGACATGGCTTGAATTTGCCTTGTTACATGTGAAGACAAACATGAAATATTACGTAAAGTCTAGTCAGTGGCTTTTTCTGATATAATTCAGAACTACTTTACTCTGTTTCACTCTTACAAGTTATCCAATTTCTACTGTCAAGTTCCCAGTTCCATGAACAAAGATAACGGAGAGGAAACGCAGTCATTAAACGAGCTGACACATCAGAAGAGGGGGGGCAAGAGGGGACCCACACACTCGCTGCCTCAAAGTTCCATCATCGCTGAAGTCTGCACTAGAGAGGTCACTTATCCAGTTCATCATCTTAAAAGCAAAATACTAATACATTCTTTTTAGCTAGCACTGGCAAATCTTGCTATCAAATCTTTAATTTAGCAGTTAGACTGTAGTGGTGATCATCTAACGACTGAATTCTGTTTACACTATCATTGCAGCACCAAGTACATGGCTTTGTAAAAACCACATCAGAAGGAAGCATTTCGTTCTGCCACACAAACCCAGCAAGCCCACTCTCTGAAAACTAGAGACTTTATTTCCCAAAACACAGAAGAACACTGCTTTTGGCAGAAGAAAAAAAGAAATAAATCAAAATTGATTTGACACCAGCCTTATCTCAGTCCTATCTGGTATTATCAGCAAGTAGGGAACGGGCTGGCATCCTCACACCGCATGGTGAAGACTGTCGAGCTCGCAGAGGCTGAACAACAGCACTTCTCACTTTGTGGGAGGACATCTATTTTTTTTTTAAGTCAGGTTTTAAAATGGTTGTTACTAGAGATTATTTTTCTGCCTGAGATGACACCATCTGGAGTGCATTAAACTTGCTCCTTTATAAAAATAGAGCTGGAGCCATCTGAGTGATCATGTTCATGATGGCAATGCAGACTTCAATATAATACAAACCAGATGTTAACATCTTTCAGGAAAAAATATTCCCATTAAATTAGTACAATCTTTGATGGATTCAAGACATGTAACAAAGTAGAACAATTGTGCAGTGAAATCTGTTGATATTATAAATCCTATACCCAACATATATAAGCATCAAGAAATATTGTAAATAATGTGGCTATAAAATTATCAAAGATGATTTTCTACAGTACTCTGCTCTCCCTTCTTGATTGAAAAAGCTGAAGGATTTAGTCACAGTTTTCCAGAGTCCTTATCACTGCAGCTGAGTTCAGACATTATAAATCCAGGCAACTGCTGAAACATCAAGGCAGCCAAGAAATCTTTCATTTGTTCTGTAAATTTTAGTTTTGTTCTCACAAGAAAAAAGATTTAATACCTCCTATATAGTTTTAAAGTCGTACTAAAAACATCTTTCCGTTGAAATGGGAGATGTGGGGTTTTTTCCCTCCAAAGGAAAGGAAGTTTTAAGAAGTGGTAAATAGCTGTTCGCCCTGAGCTCCACCACTATTTTTAAAACAATGGAACACATCAAAAGTGGTTATCTGCTACCGAAACAGTATGTGAACAGAAGGCAGTGACCCAACAAAAACATCAGCCAGCTACGAGAGTGCCCAACACCTCGAATAAGTCACACTGTTTTTTGGACTTTCCTTTGGTAAATCAAACAGAAGGGCAGGGAAATTTGTTTTTTACGTGCAAGTTTTGTGCCTTTTTAAAAAACTGAGGATGTTCTCTCTAAACTAGTCAATTGATAAAGTCATAGCTATTGACAAGAAGGCAAATTCAATGACAATTCAATTGACAATTCAGACAAATTCCATGTTGATGACATACTCCTTCATGCTCTACAGCAGTTCAGCAGTGATTTGTGCGTGCAAGCCACAGTTCAGGTCTACGGCATAGTTATATTTGTTATACCACGAACACGACTGTCAATGTGAGGATGCCTGAAGTTAGAAACTGGATGAAATTAAAGCAAGTTGTGCCAAGAGCCAGTGAGGACGCGCCTTCAGTGACCCCACCACAGTGCAGAAAGCATTGTGAGACCCCGAATTTGTGGAGGAAAGAGAACAAAGGAAGCTTCTGATACCAATTAGATAGATTCTGAAAAAGGAAATTTCTCCATCAACAGTAATCCAGATTTACAGACTCTAAAGAGAAACGGAGTAACTCACGAAGCGGGAAGAGTTGTCATTTTTCACTGTCTTTGCATTCCCAAAGGATTCCAGAATGGGATTCGCCTGAAGAAGCTGACGTTCCAGCTCCCCCTAGAAACCACACAAACAGAAGAACAAACAGACATAAGCAAGTGCCCAGGTGATCAAGGGTTCCTACGTTGTGCTGCCTCCTGACAGTCATTTCACCCAGGTTGTGGCGGTGATACCACCTTCACAGGGGGCTCATCATTTTCCCCCTCACTTCTAAATCCGCTGATAGTCTCCTCCATCCAGTGCAGAATGTGTATTGTTTGTTTTTTTGTAGGTTTTGTCTTTTTTTGACACACACGCATACACACACAAACAGAGCAGCGACCAAATAGGACTTAATGGATGTTGAAAATCATTGAACATGGAAAAGAAAATCCACATTTAGGGCTCATGAAATCAGGCACAGACTTTGAGTGCTTAAGAGGAAAAACTAATTGAACTATTTTAAGATTTTAGTGCAGTTATTCTTAAACTTCCTGTTTAGTGATTCGACAATATAGATACTTTGGAACATCTATTTCCAAATTTACTTTCAAATCAGCCAGATATTCATATCACTGCAACATCTCTGACCTGAACGCACCTGAGAAGCAGCCAAAACGGCATAATGGGAACTGAGCAACACCAAATACAAAGATCATCAATTTTCAAATTGCTCAATTCAGCCAACATTGCTCAGTATGTTTAATGCATTTTTTCAAGTGCTTCTTTAAGTTCAAGCCAATGGATGTAGAAATCAAAGTACTTATCTCAAGGAAATTGCACAACAGGTTTTACAATTGGTGCCCATGAGACATCTGGTAACAAAAAAAGTCTGTGCTGCTTCCATGAGCCCAAGAGGCATGTATGTACATAGGAAAATATGATACTGTCTTCCTGCTCTGAAGGATTGTTTAAATAAAAAAAAAGTGAAGTTGTCTGGAATGTAGTCTCAAAAAAAAAAAAAGACATTTGTGTTCATAAACCTGCTTTTTCCAATTATTTATAGCATAGATGAATAAAGGCCCCAGACTGAGCATCCAAAAATGGGAAACATAAGTCTCTTAAGGCTTCCACATAAGGTCAGTTCTTCACACAGGAATTTTTAAAATTCACTAGTTAACACCTAAAAGAGGCTTTTATTCGTATATTGAAATATATTTCAAGTCCTCCTGGAAACTAATGGCTGCCCATTCTTTAATGTGATCTCAAGTTATCTGCTCAAAAATTGTTTACTTCCAAATATAATCCCTTTGGGAGCACATATTCTCTGAATTCTGAAGTAACAAAAGAAGAAATAAATGTGAGAGCCTTAGCCTGGAGCACACTGAACGCTACTCAATGTCTACGCACGATGTGTTAGGTCTGGCAACATTACAGTTCTCAGGAGTACTTTCAAATTGACAAAAAAAAAAATCCACAACTGGAGAAAAACTGTCACAACCACTATATGCACCTCTGCAATTTATATTCTAAAAGCTTTCAGTGTAAACAAATCAGATAATGGGAAAGCATTTGCTCACCCCATTCCTCCCATTCCCTCTCCCAACCACACCAACAGCTCCTGCTAAGACACCAGGAATAAAATCGAGACGCTTGCTCACCGTGCTGAACACAGCCTGGAACAACCACGGTACGTGTACTGAACGCAGCAAGCATGGCACAGCTTGCACTTCGAATTCTAGCTACTCTGGAGGAGAAGGCACACTGGCTTCAGAACTGCACCCTCCCCAGAACATCGCTGTGCCACTCGAGAGCATCGCGCTGCTTCGTCCGGGCTTCAACGCGCTTCTGCGTGTCACACCCTGGATCTGGTTCTGTGCAGAGGAACTTCAGCGATGCATCATAAAGTAGTTTCACTGAAATTCTCCAACTGAACGCAGAAACTGCTTAGTAGCTCGTTTTGACGATCATCTCTGAGGAGGTGAAGCCAACATTCAGTTGGGTCCTCGAGACGGGGGTGAAAGCCATGAGAAGGCGCAGAGTGATCACAGCCCAGCTGGGTCTGCAGTCTGCACTTGCCAGTAGACTTGCCCTACCCATCCCTAGGAACAGCAAACCTCTCACACTACGAGAAACAGGTTCTGATTTAGTAGTTTTTACTTTTAGATGAACTGCTTTACAGCCAAAACCCAATTATCTTTTTTAGAGAGAGTTGTGGTAGTGACACCACCTTCAGAGGGGGCTTATCGTTTTCTCCCCCACTTCCAAATCTGCTGATAGTCTCCTCCATCCAGTGAAGAATGTGCATTGGGGTTTTTTTTGTAGGTTTTGTCTTTTTTTAAAAATGCTTTTTAGAAACATTCAGTGTTTCGGAAAG